AGTTTGTTCCCTAAGCAACATCCTTGGTCATCCTCTTAACAGACAGTTTGACTCTAAGGTGTGAGTCATTTCTTGCTCTATCCTAGACCAGTGGTTCTTAACCTTCCTAATGCTGTGACCCTTTAATACAGTTCCTTACGTTGTGGTGACCCCCAACCATAAAATTAGTTTCATTGCTACTTCATAACTATAATTTTGCAACTGTTATGAATCATAATGTAAATATCTGATGTGCAGGATATCTGATATGCAACCTCTGTGAAAGGATCATTCGCCTCCCCCCATAAGGGGTCACAACCCACATGTTGAGAACCAATGTCCTAGAGCCTTGTTTTATTTCTTAATTTTTAACCTACTTCCTTAACACTAACCTAGGTCTCTTCTAGGACTGTTAGCTCAAGGCTTGCGGAGTCATAGGGAATTGTAGGGTCTGCTTCTGCCAGCATATTTGTTTGCCTGACTCCTTATCAACGGTTGTCAGTCTCTAGGCCAGAGGAAAGTCTCAAACTAGAATATTCAACTCCCTTCACATTGGCTCACTAGCTACTGACCGACTTAAGGGAACTTGCTTTCTTCTCTTAACCGACTCCTTCCTAGCCCCCATGGGGCTCTGTGAGTGTGTGTGAGTGTGTGTGTGTGTGTGTGTGTGTGTGTGTGTGTGTGTGTGTGTACATGCCCATTCACAAATATTATAGATGCTTTATAATGAAAGGAGAGCAAGTAAAAATGCCACCTTCTTATATAAACTACAGAGGGTCTGAGGAAATGGCTTAGTTTTTTTATAGTTCTTGCCATATAAGCTTGAGGGGCTGACATTAGCTCCCTGGCACTCACATGAAAAGCCAGGTGTGATGACATGTTCCTGTAATCCCAGCACTGGGGAGGTAAAGACAGGGGGATCCCTGGAGCTCACTGGCCAGCCAGCCTAGCTGAATTAGTAAGTTCCCCATTCAGTGAGAGTCCTTGTCTCAAAATATAAGAGCGTTAGTGATCAAGGGAGACACCTTGCCTTCATGTTTATATGTGCATGCATGTATATATACAATCACCCACATACATACATAAACACGCACACACAAGTTTATAGAATGCTTGTAGCTTTATGGTTAACTCGTCAGTCTAACATCTTGGCTCTCTGGGGACATTCCAAAGAGCTGGGCTGCTTCTAAGGCTTTAATTTACACACACACACACACACACACACACACACACACACACACAGATAGAGAGAGAGAGAGAGAGACAGAGACAGAGACAGAGACAGAGAGACAGAGACAGAGAGACAGAGACAGAGACAGAAAGAACCACACTGATGCCTGCATAAAGAAGAGCATCCAAGATTGCACAGAGCAGTGTTTCCAGCCAGCTGTACCTTATGACACTAATGGACATGAAGATGCCAGGACGTTGGATAAAGTGGATAATGAAGCTGATCAGGATCCGTTGTCGTCACTGTTGCCCAGTGGCTTGAGTGAAAGGTGCCGTCTCCCTCAATACACACTGTTAGAAATAGAAGAGATCAGCGAGGCCACGTCTTTGCCTTCTCCTGCTCTTCCTCCTACCCTCCTCTCCTCTTCTGCCAACTCCAGCCCACTGCCTACCTGTTCTTTCATGTTGGACTTGTTATTTTGTGCCTGTGACCACATGGTATGTCACTGTGGGGACATGTGATGGAGAAGCTTCTTCACCTCGGGGCAGCTGGAAAGCAAAGAGAGAAATAAGAAGGGTTCTGGCCCCGTGTGCTGTTCCTCCAGTGACCTAGCTTCATTCTAGTAGGTTCTATCACCTAGATGTTCTATCACTAGGCCAGGAAACGAGGTTCAACACAGGGACCCATGGGAGACACTGAAGATCCAAGCTATAGCTGGGTTCATCTGGAAGCCCCCTGCCTTATCCCTCCCCTCCTTCTCCTCCTCTCCTCCTCCTTTCCTCCTCCTCCCCTC